CTTTGTTAGAGAGATATGCTCGGACAAAGGCTTCAAGTTCTGGAAACCCGCGACTCTCGGACTTTGTGTTCAGATATTTCAGAGAAAAGAATTTGTATCCGGGAGTCCCTGTCGGACCGGCTCCAAAGTCCCACACGGACCCTGAAGATTTGTGGAGTCGAAAGTGGGTTCAGTGGCTTTTCACTTCTGGGACATCCCTACCATGACATCCCTGCCATGACATCCCGTCCCTCCCGTGATAAAAACTGCAGAAAATTTCTGAACCTCACAATCTGGAAGGGTCCATCTCCTCAAGCATTCTTGAAAGGAAGAACAGGACCAAAAAGATATCAAATAATACGGTCCGCTGGCTCAATGGCAGAGCGTCTGACTACGAATCAGGAGGTTCCAGGTTCGACCCCTGGGGTGGATCGATCTTTTTTGCTATTTCCTTCTACCTACCTCGGAGGGTGATGAGGGTAAACTGCTGTTCATGATCTTTTTCTTTTTGCCCTTCGCAACCTTTGCTCAAGTTCAAGATCTTTTTTCTTCCCTTCCTTTCGTCCGCGAGACATGATATTGAAGGTAGACAGATACAAACGCCGTTGCCATTTATCATGAGCATTACCCAGGGAGTGAGTGGTCTAGCTCGATAAATCAATCCATGGAGATGTCAATTGATACCTACCTGAGAGAAGAAAAGAAGGAAACAAGGAAATGAAAGAAAAAGAAAAGGTTATACACCAGCTTACCTCAGACTCCATTGCCGACGTTCCTGGTGTCTACCAGCCCCAACATCAACATCAATACCTTACCTCCCCATTAGGCCAACATACCCCCGAGTGCACAAGCGCGACAGGTTGAGGTCCCCTTGTCACCTTCTTTTCCATCTCCTCCACCTCCATCCGCTCCATCTCCCTCCTAGTCAACGCCTCAGCAAAAATCTGCCCACTTATCTCCATTTGCTCCATGTCCCCCGCCGCCATGTCCAGATTCTTCTCCATCGCCTCCCTAACCTCCAAAAATCTGGCCAAAACCTCCTCAACAGCAGACACTTCAGTCACCCTCGCCCACCACCACGGAGTAAGTTCCTCATCGGCACATGGTGATAGCCCCAGCTTGTGATGGTCATCAACCGTCGCACGTCCCGCGGCCGAGATGGTTGATATACGCATCCTCCCTCCCCACCTACCGTATAGCCTGGTGGCATCAGCCGCGCGATATCTCAGCCATTCCGCATGGGGATCGACGGCTGCGCCGAGGGAGAGGAGGTGTTGAGTTAGGGATAGGAGGCTTTCTTCAGAAGCAGAAATATCTGCGGTGGTTTTACCTGTTCCTGTCCCACCAGAACGAGTGGCGACGGACCTACCGTTTTCTTCACCCTTACCTTCACCCCTGTCCTTGTCCTCGTCCTTCGATGACTGAGAACCACCCTGACTTTTTTCACAAAAATGTAAAAGAGAATCATCCCAAGGCGTAGCAAGTGCGTGCATAGGCGACCAGCCCTCTTTCGTAACCACTTGCGCCATGGCGGCGGGATTATTAGATATCCCCAGAAGACAGCGAGCGATTCGGTGCGCGACGGTTTGCGACTTGCCGTAGACGGGATGCAAGGCGCAGAGAAAGGGTGTCCATCCGTCGTCGGAGGCCTGGTTTGGGTCTAGACCCTGGTCAAGCAGAAAGCTTAGGACGGCTTCGTTCCCGCCTGCGGCAGCGTAATGAAGGGGAGATTCGCCGTAGGCGTTGAGGGTATGTATGGCCGTGTCGGCATCTTCGCAATGGAAGAGACACAGACGGAAGGCTTCGAGGGATCCTGTTGAAGCGAGGAGGTGGAGGGGAGTTTCGCCTTTGGTGTCTGCTCTGGTTGGAGAGGCGGAATGCTGGAAGAGGAGATGGAGAATTGCCAGGTTGGTTTCTTGGGTCTTTGACTTGGTGGGCCGGTTGCCGATGTAGGGAGGTGAGGATAACGGGTAGATGGATGAGAGGACGGAACGGTCAGTGAGGAAGAAGCGCCTTGGTCTTTGGTGATGGATACCTTGGGTCCTGCCAGTGCCGACTCCTCTTCCTCTGCCTCTGCCGATTCCTCTGCCTCGAACCATGCCCATGCCCCTGCCTCGGCCCCTATTCCCGCCTCTGCCGCTACTACCTCCGTCTGAAGAAGTAGTATCAGTAGAGCCATCTTGATCTGTGCCGATGACAACTCGATGTTCGAATCCCTTATACCTGCGCACTTCCAAGAACGGTTGGTCAAACAGTTCAGCGATCTTGTGCAAGACAGTACGACCATGCTCATCTGGCAAGTTAGGATCCGCCCCTTTCTCCAACTGAGCTCTCAAAAGATCGAACCGGTTATACGCATGGTGAATCGGCAGTGACGGCTGGCGGGAAAGCCGACCACGTACATCCAGATCCTGGATGACCCGGTTCGGATCCGCACCAGCTTCAATCAGCCTCTCCACCATCCTGATCTCGCCCTCCTCGTTCACCGGCCGTATCTCCGGTCCCTGAAACAGACTGTCAGGCCATATCGACCGCCGAGGCCCAAACGCGCGCTGCAGCGCCACCTGAACCACGTCCTGATCATACGAAATCCTCACCAGCAACAAACCTACCACTTCCCCTCGCCACATGGCCGCCGCATCATACAGCGCCATACACTTCTCCCTGTGCCACCACCCATCGTACCAATCGAGGAAATCGCCCACCAGCTCCACGTGTCCGTTCCTAGCGGCAATGACCAAACAACTCGGCATCAAGCCATGTCCGTAGTACGGTTGTCGCGTATTCGGGCCCTGGAAGGATTGGAAGCGCGCGTCAGGTCCGACGTGGTCCCATAGCATTCGGGCTATGGCGCGATGACCATACAGTGCAGCGGTTTGGAGGCAGGAGAAGGAGTCGTTGTTGAATGCGACTAGGTCCGTCTCGACGCCGGCGTCTAGGAGCATGCGCACGATGGGTTCGTTCTCTTGGGAAATGGCTGAGTAGAGCTGGTGGGAGAGGTGCTCGCTTAGGTAGTCGTTGGTCTTGCCGGTGCATGTCCAGCGGTGGATCTTTTCCTCGAGCGATCCTTCGGGGTCGTTGTATTGGTAGAATGGATCGCGGTGGTCGAATGTTTCTGACATTGTGGATGGGGAGTCGGTGATGGTACGCTGGGGTATTGTTGGAGTGCATATGTTTGGAGAACAAAGAGTGCTGGTGTATGTCAGCCTTTGTTTTTGATACACTGCTGCCTGCTGAGGTGAGGGGGTGACTAACCCGTCTGGACGGCGAGATGCCTCGGCATTGCTACCCTGGATGCCTGACACTAGGCTGTTAGGTTGCTATCACCAAGTGCAGGTATCAAGGTGAGGGACTGTTAAGAGTCAGAAACTGTTATCAGCCAGCTAATTCTCTATCTTGGGAGAGGCAAAAATGGCAGCGCAATAGATAGAGCACCATCTAAGTGACGGCTGTGGATACACCTCCGCTCAACAGATGTCGTCCTCTTGACATCAACGCCTCAACACATCACCACTTTTCCAGTTCTAGACTTTGGCGATCTCACCACCCTCGCTTGCCGACTGCCGAAAAAGCACTCTCGGAACCAGACTCTCGCCGGTGCCTGCCAAGACAAGGACATCAGCCGCCATCGACCAACCTGCTCCTTGGTGGCATTCTCTCCCGTACCGCAATATGTACCCCCGGATTCCCTTCCGAACCGGCAGATCAAGGCGAACGTCATCACAATATGGCCAGACCATCGCGCAAAGTATAAACGGCCGCTGTTATAGACGCGCGAACCAACAGCGGCCTCGATGCCATGCCCCGCTGGCTAAACATCGCTGTCCGGGTTACAAAGGATGGATCCGCCAACCGGGTGATATAACAAGATGACAACCGGCCTTGACAAGCAATATACAACACTCTCCCGCCTCACTCGATCCATCTTTTCACCGCTGGGCTAATTCTCGTGACTGCTTCTTGGCACCAGATGTCACCACGGAGGACGCGTCGCCTGCCCGGAATCCGGAGTCAACGTAACAGCACGCAACCGAATGCTGCCTTTGGAGATGCGACGATACAACGACGACGGATGAGAACAGGCCTCGATAGGATGACGGGGCTTATATAAGGATGAAGGACTGGGCAGTCTAGAAGCTTGTTTACACGTCAGTCCGCAACCACTTCCGTCCGCCCAACATGAAGTCCTCGTACCTGTTGGCCAGCCTTGCCTTGGGGTCTACCACCCTCGCAAGGCTGATTCCCCGTGCGGAGGTCGATAGCAGACAATGGACGTGTCGTTGGACTGGTCACTGCATTGGTATGTTTTGATCCCAAGAGTCTCTACAAATTCTTGTACTGACACCAACAGGCGACGAGTGCGAGACAAACCGAGACTGTGATGGTGACCTCGTCTGCAAGAACTACGAGTGTGCAAACCCCGGGAGCCCAGTCAAGCCGACGACCACCACGCGCAAGACCACCACGACTGTCAAGACCACAGCTCGTCCTACCAACACGGTACCTCCCGGCTGCGTCTGGCCAGGACACTGCTTGGGTATGCCACCTGTTGCCCCCTCCATGAGCTTCCCTTCTTCCAAGTGCTAACACTTCTTCTTCAGGTGACCCCTGTAGCACCGAAAACGACTGCGACACCAATTGGGTCTGCCTGGCAGGCAAGTGTGCTACACCGGGACCGACCGTTCCCATTCCAATCACGACCACTCGCCGAACCACGACTAGTACTGTCCGTCCTCCTGTGCCGCCTACTACGACTACTCGCTTTGTCCCTCCCCCGATCACCACTACGAGGACTACGAGCAAGCCGGCGGTGCCTACTACCACGAGCAAACCGCCTACGAACCCGGGAAATCCTAGCTGTGGTGATAACCCCTTGGCTTGCATTGGTATGTCGAAATTGTTGTGGTTCGCTTTGAAGAAGAGTAGCTAACCAAGAGTGTTAAACAGGCTCCCCTTGCTCGACTGATGCCGACTGCAAGTTTGACTTGATCATTTGCCAGAATGGTGTTTGCGGACTCTAAAACGTGGTATCATATGGTCGCTGGAAGAGCGGAAACGAATGTCTATCTTGCTTTTGAACCCAATCATGCTTTTGCCCAAAATCCCAAAACACATCTCTACCACCTCCTTGCCGTCGACACGTCCTGTCTATCCTCTGTCACCGTAACCTCATGTGTAACAATAATCCCATTTTGCTTCCCCCTTTTCCCGCTCCCTCCCGAGTTCTGCGGCTGAATCAAGCCCGCCCCTCTTTCCGCAGACGTCGTCCTTCTATGTCCTCCTCCACTGCCCTGCGGCATCACACCCATCGTAGCAATATCCTTGCTGCTCGCCGTCGAGCTTCCACTTCCTCCCACCGTCTTTCCATCATCCGAGGTGACGATATTCTCCTCGCTTCCCCATATCGTATCGTTCCCCACAGTCAACGGGTGTCTGCTGGCCTTGCTAATCACAACCCTGCTCCTCGGCCCTCCCTTCCCTATGTGACTACCGGGATTGCTACCCAGCGGAAATCCATGTTGTCCCGATACACCAGCCTTGTGATTCCCTGACGTCCCTCCGCTCAGCGAAATGATGCTCTTCTCCAAAAACCTCCTAACCAACGGATAAACCATAGGCATATTCGTCAACACAAAACTGACAAAACTCTCCCTAACAGACCAATACCCGCTCTGCGCCGGATCCGTATCGCCCAACGTCAAAATACACACGCACCTCAGAATCCCAAACGCCATCTCGATGAACCCGCCCGAAAACATCAGCAGCAAAAAGAACTTTTTCCTCCACGTCAAATTACTCTTCCACACCATCGGCAACGGAATCGCCAGCAGGTAAAAGTCGGTAATGGTATTCATCACCATCACAAACACCGTCTGCACCACGCTCACCGCCGGCGTGCAATTATTTCCAGGATCCGGATATATCTGCCACTGCTTCTCGAAGGGGACGCACTTGAACACGGCCACGCACACGCACGCCATGTAAGTCGCTGGCATCATGATGTAAGCGCCGATAATCCAGTTGCGCATGTTGTGGACGCCCACGGTTAGACGGGCGTAGTAGACGGACCAACACGCTTTCAAGAGCCAGAGGAGCGTGGTATACAGCAGGAGACCGGCAACGTGCGCTTTGGAACCGATGATGCGCAGGCGGTATTCTTCGCTTTGGGGGTCCAGGAGGATGCGTTCTTGTTCTGTCATGGCGTTGTTGGCGAGACCGTGCCAGGTTGTTACGAGGAAGTGGGCGAGGGTCGTTTCGGCTGTGTAGGAGAGCTGTGCGTGGGTGTTAGACGGATAACAAACTGGAAGATGAAAAGAGGAGGGAAAGAAAGACCCACCAAAGCGCCAAACATAAAAAAGTCATCCAGAGCTAGCTTTCGCCAGCCTAATTGCCGGATTCTGCTAAAGTATCGGAGGATCACAACGATGTAGGCTGCGCCTTGCAAACCCCATGCTTCGCGGACGAACCGAGCCGCTTCGGCTTTTACTTCGTCGGGTGTTCTGGAGACGATGTCCATGGTTGCGGCCGTTGTGTATAGAACCTGCTGACAGGATCCGTGTGGAGGAAAGGAGTGGATGGGGTGACGCCTCAACACCAGCACATTGATGAGACCGAATACTGGAAAGGTAGGTAGTTGGTTGATGGCCCACAAAGAGTGACGGGAGCGAGAAGGTCTGACAACCTCAAAAGGAGTGACTGATCCACCAACAGAACGAGTCGGGAAAAAGAGCGGAAACGAACAAAAATGTTCTTGTTTGATGTTCCGTTCTGGAAAGAAACGACCGGAAGGAAGGGAAGAAAGAATAGGTGCTCAAGCTCTGATCTATTGACCCAACGGACCCAACAGACCCAACAGACTGGATCCTATCTGCCCTAAGTACACTATCCAGGGGGGCGAGAAGCACGACAGGTTCGAACTTGGGAGATCTCCTACCTACTTCAAATGTCTGTCATCTCCTTTCTTCGCCGGTTCATATGGTGAATCTGGGATTCTGGGTACATTTCCCTTCAATGCCCTGCCTGAGACCCTGCTTAATGCAACCTACTAAGAAGTTGCCTCTTCAGCAACCTAATAACCCGAAGCTGAATTCCAGATGGACTAGAGGCAGTGGTGTTTAAAACTAAGAAAAAGGAGAAGAGAAAGAGCAAGTGGCCATAGCATCGGTATCCCGGCTGCCCCAGGCTAGGCACTCTACACCTCTGCCGGGGTAAAAAAAGGTTAATTTTGTACTTCCAGCCTACAGAAAACCAGGGCTCGACGCCAGAGCACGCGGGTCTATTCTGTAGAACGCTGACTTTTGCCATCGATCCACACCAATGGCGAATTCACAAGATTTAACATTTCCCCCCTCCCCCCGGCAGAGGTGTACTGCCCAAGGAAGCAAGGACATGGAAGATGACAAGAGAACTACGACAGAAAGAAGCGACATGAACGGGTTCGTACCCTTGAACCCTTGAACCCAGCCCTTGAGAATTAGACTCAGGGGGAATCAGGAACAATATGAACGGCATGAACAAGGAGTTGGAGAAGTACCGGCGTGCCGCGTGCCGCGGCGCCCAGCTCGGGTAGTATGGTTATAACCTGGGACTGGAATCGGGACCTGGTAATGGAACCGTGATCTTGGGATTTCAGCGTGGTTGGATGCAAGTTCTAGGTGAGGTGAAATGCTTTCCTTTTTCGTCCACGACAGTTGGGGTTCATTCATTGAAGATACTTCTACTTCTGCTCGTACTGTCAGTATGAGGACAGCGGAAACCCCTTGACTGAGGGGTCATCTACCTCTAGACAAAGTCTCTGGTTCTTCAAGAAATCTTTTGAGACGGAGAAGTAGAGGTAAGGTAGATTCCTCTATGCAACAGAAGAGGTTGGGAAGGATTCCGGAAGAGTTGGAACTTAACAGAAAGACACTTCATCCATGTCAGCCCTCCCTCCCGGCTGGCATCCAACCCTACCATCATCTCAGCTTGCCCAGCCTACAATGGCCCTGGACCTGGCACATACCGCGGCCAAACAACCGAGCGGGTTAACTGGACGGACTGGACGGACACTGGGTCGGTTTAATGTCGATCTTCTTCAACCTTAAACTGCATCTGACACAGTGGAACTGGGAAAGACACTGGGGAGCTGGGGCACTGGGGAAGCAGGGGCAGGGGCAGGGCGGAATAGTAGGCGAAGGCCAAGGGCTGATGTGGATATCTGACTGCATCCTCGTCCTCGGATCACATTGTTTGGTTCGTGTTGGCACTGGTTGGCTTCCAGCTGTGGAGGTTGAAAAGAAAAGAAACGAGGTGTTCATCTCCGATGTATGGAGTACACTGAACAAATCTTTGGTTCAGGCGATGAACATGAAGACGGGAGGTGGCAAAAGACTTTGTCCTAAACGAGCTGAAAAGTTGGTTATACAGAAAGGGAAAGAAAGCGGAGGCTAAGTGGATGCCATTGTAATCCTGACGGTCGGTTCTGGCCAATGGTGGTGTGGGTGTATGAGACAAAGATGAGAGGTAGCGGACGCTGAGAGGGAGAAGGGCATAAACGAGGAGAGAAAAAAGGAAGGAAGGAAGGAAGGAAGAAAGAAAGAAAGAAAGAAAGAAAGAAAGAAAGAAAGAAAGAAAGAAAAAAAGAAAGAAAGAAAGAAAGAAGAAAAAGGCTGGACCTTTCTGTGAATGGGAGGGACATCACGATAAATCGCTATTTCAGCAACGGCTGGAGGCTGGAACAAGACGTGGAGGAAAAATGGACAATCGACCGTTGTCCAGCATACCGCTCTCAGTCTTGCGGCCTTGGGGTCTTGTCAGGGTCTGAGACATTCATTGGAAGTAAAATCTGACTGACCCTCGAGATCTCAGGGATCCCAGGGGAAATATGCACAATGGCGCAGGTGGCTGAATCAACGGTGAACCGATCGAACAGCCGAACCGTCGGGCGGGCGTTCACGATTCTGCAGGTCCCGTCTCGTATCTGGCGTTCGCAACAGTGTTTGCTAGACTTTCTTTCCTTTTTTGTTTCTTTTCGGAGGGGTTTGTTCATGTTGCAGTATCTGCTCTGTCGGACAATCGGGAGGAAAAGCAAAGAGAGTCATGACTGTTGCATCCAGAAGCGTGTTCATCTCGCTCGCTCGCATGGGAAAGGAGGCTCTTTTGGTCGATGTCTCAGCTTCAACATCTTTTCTTCTGCCAAGGGAGAAATTGAAGACATCTTTCCAAAACTCGTGAAGGAGATATCGTCTGTGCTGCCACCATGGTTCAGGGTAGTAATGTAGTGTATATGTCGACTACAAATCTCCCCCCTCCATATCCGCCAAACTCCTTTTTTTTTTTTTTTTTTTTTTTTTTTTTTTTTTTCAGGCTTTCAGCAACCATAACGCCAGCATTAAAGGACAGGGCAAAAAGAGGGAATCTCCAGTCGGTCTCCAGTAGGCGACGGTCGAAGCCAGGCACGAAAGGCAAGCAACGGAGTTCTCTTCCGTCTGGTCCTCCTCTTTCTTTTTTTGTATCCCTTCTTTATCATTGGGTCCCCCTGAGCCCTGAGAACCACACAGTCCAGCCCGTACCATACCATTCAAACCTTGATACTTTTATGCCACTAATGCACTAATGCACCACGGGGACGATTCCGCTGCAGAAACGAAGAGACCCCGTTTTTTTCTTTGGTCCGAATGGCTTGGTTACACAAATGACCTTGCCGAGTGCGATGGGATCGACGTGGTGGTCCCCAGCCAACGGTTACGAGCCAACGACAACGACCACCTCATGACTTGAAGAACCAACCACGCTGAAAAAATGCCGAGGAAAGCTACTGTAACAAGCATGCAAGCAGGCAAGCTAGCAAGCCTAGCCTAGCAAGCCTAGCCAATGCCCTGTAACGTTAGATCCACGCCCGCTGGAGAACTGATCAGTCATTTCCTTTTCTCCTCTAGGAAAGGCTCCGTATGGGGTAGCATAAGCCATAAGGGGCACACTGGAACGACTGGCCACTGGCCACAGAGAGGGGGCGATGAATGGAGTCTTTTTTCTAGCGGATATCTTTCTTCGTGCGATGCGGAAACGACGGGCAGGATGGAGAATGACAGCTCTATCCACAGTCAACGTCTTCGTATCTGGGGAAGTGGAGAGTCTGTCACATGTACGGGGTTTAAGACAACGACAATTGAAGATGGCAGAGGGCCAGAAATCATGGGAAGGAAGGCAAAAAGAGCGGTCTGATTCTGGTCAAACTTTGAGACAAAGAAGAGGCCCATATCTGATCAAAAACTTTACGAAGCGAAAAACCGAAAAAGAAAAGGCCACTCGGCCATTTTCTAGAATATCCACGGTAGTGGCTTGTTGGTTGTACAGACAGTACAGTGCAGCCGAAAATGGACTGACCCTGGTGGTCAAAAAATGCTATGGCGACGACGTGCCGCCCGCCAATCGATATCAACACTGTCACATCAGTGGTACGATACTGCCGTTCGCTAAACGACAGTACTATCAAATCGTAGCAGGCCTGCAAACTAAACTGGCAGTTGGTACAGTGCAGCTTCCCCAGCGTGTAGTACTTTGCCCACTGGACACCACAGCCATCAAATTTGCCAGGACATCGTCGCTGGACGAACAACTAGACGATCATGACTTACGACCGCCGTCAAAATGCTCGCAGGATATGGGAAACGGACCCAGAAAAGAGAGGCGTACGCAGTAACTGGCCCAGAAAAGATGGAGTGCCGGTGAATCCAGCCCTCCAGCCCTCCCCGCAGCCTTCAAGTTATTCACCCTGACGGTCATCATCTTTTGCAGGCTTTCCGCGAGTGGCTGTCCATTGGCGGTGATGCCTCTCAGTTACCCATTCTGGTTTGGCTTGAGGAGAAAGGAGCTGCACTCGCTGCAGAAGTATCGTTCAGGAGAGGGCCCGACTTGCAGCATTGATTCCCAGCCAGAAATTCGAGGTAGGCCGGCTATCAAAAGTTGCCCTACTAACTGACTATCAGCAGTCTGGGGTTGCCTTGTCTAGTCTCCAATCTGCTGATGGCTCCCCCATTTGGGGGTTTCTCCTGATGTGGAAATGTGGAAATTTGTGGACATCACCGACTGTCGTTCTGGAACATGGATCCCCTCGTTGTTGTGGATGGGGATCAACCACTTCAGTCTGGTCTTCTTGATGACTATCAGGATGTCGACTTAAAGAGCCCGTCACTGGCCTTTCCCAGCTCGAGTCTTGCCTTCTCCCCAAGCTCTCTTCTTCTCTTCATCATATTACGATCGTTCTTAATCTTAATACCCGGTAGTCATGTCTTCCGTTACCACAAACGACCATGCCAATGGCACCAATGGCACCAATGGCATCAGCAAGCCCAAAGAGTCCAACGTCGATGTGTAAGACCACCACCACCACCTCCTCCTAGAGTTCAACAGACTAACACCTCCCAGACTCATCGTCGGTGCCGGCCCAGCAGGTCTCATGGCCGCGGCCTGGATGGCCCACTGCGGCATCAACGCTCGCATCGTCGACAAGCGCAACGCCAAGATCTTCACCGGCCAAGCCGACGGCATCACCTGCCGCACCATCGAAATCTTCGACAGCCTGGGTTTCGCCGACCGCGTGTGGAAGGAAGCGCTGCACCTGCAGGAGATCTCCATGTGGAATCCCAATGCCGAGGGCGTCATCCACCGCTCGGACCGCATCCCCGACACCGTCATCGGCGTTTCGCGGTTCCAGCAGTGCGTGCTCAACCAGGGCCGCATCGAGCGCTGGTTCATCGACAACATCAAGAAGTATTCAAATGACACCATTTCGGTCGAGCGCGGCGTGCTGCCTGAAAGCTTGGTAATTGACGAGTCCAAGGTCGAGGACGACGACGCATACCCCGTCACTGTCACCTTGCGCACCCTGACTGAAGAGGAGGCCACGCCCGTGCAAGCCGCTACCGCCTCCAAGTCTGTCGTGTCAGACGGTCTCTTCCGCAGCAACTTGATGCAAGAAGATGATGAGGCCGACCTTCTTCGCAAGACCCAGACCCGACCGGGAACCGAAGAGATCGTGCACGCCAAGTACGTCATCGGATGCGACGGTGCCCGCTCATGGACGCGCCGCGCGCTGGGTCTGGAGCTGGAGGGTGAAGCGACCGATTACATCTGGGGCGTGATGGACATCATCCCCATCACCGACTTCCCCGACATCCGCAACCGGTGCGCCGTGCATTCTGCCGAGAACGGCTCGCTGATGGTCATCCCGCGCGAAAACCGCATGGTGCGGCTGTACATCCAGCTAAAGGAAGTCGTTCCCGACGCCTCCGGACGCGCCGACCGGTCCAAGATCACACCTGACCTGATTTTCCGCGCCGCGCAAAAGATTATCGCTCCCTATAAGCTCGACTACGAGTACTGTGACTGGTGGACGGCGTATCAGATCGGCCAGCGCATCGGCAACAGCTTCGACGTGCACAACCGCGTGTTCCTGGCGGGCGACGCCGTGCACACGCACTCGCCCAAGGCCGGGCAGGGCATGAACGTCTCGATGCAGGATACCTTCAACCTCGGGTGGAAGGTGGCTCTCGTCACCAAGGGCATTTGCAAACGCGATATTTTGGCGACGTACCAGAGCGAGCGCCGCCGGATCGCCCAAGATCTGATCGAGTTCGACCACAAGTTCTCCCGCCTGTTTCTGGTCGGGCCCGCCAAGGACATGATGGACGCCGAGGGCATCGACATGGAGGAGTTCAAGCGCGCCTTTATGCGCGGCAACATGTTTGCCTCGGGCATGCAGGTCGACTACGGGCCGAGCAACCTGGTCGTCAAGGCGGGTGACTGGTGCGAGCAGGGCGATCGCAGCGAGAAGAGCGCTAAGCTTTTGACGGAAGCCAAGATCAGCGATGAGAAGTTCTCCAAGAAGCAGGCTCTTGCCACGGAGATCCCCGTCGGCAAGCGTCTTGCTTCCTTCAAGGTCCTCAGCCAAGCGGATGCCAGGCCGTGGCACATCCAGGAGCGACTAAAGGCCGATGGCCGCTTCCGCATCGTGCTCTTTGCTGGTAACATCCTCTCTGCGCAGCAAAAGGCGCGGGTGGATAAATTCTGCGCTAAACTGGATGCTCCGGAGAGTTTTCTGCAGAGGATCACGCCTGCGGACAAAGCGATTGACAGTGTCATTGATATCTTGACGATCCACTCCAGCCCGAGAAGGGATACGGAGCTGTTGAGGGACTTCCCGGATATCTTGCATCCGTTTGATCACCATCTGGGTTGGGATTACACAAAGGTGTATGCGGACGATGTCAGTTACCATGAAGGGTTTGGAGATGCTTACAAAAACTATGGCGTGGATAAGGAGAGGGGATGCGTGGTGGTGGTCAGGCCGGATCAGTATGTCGCTTACGTGGGCGATATTGATGACTTTGAGGATTTGGAGAACTACTTCGAAGGGTGCTTGAGGTTACCGGCTGTGGGTGTTGCCCAAGATATCAGCATTGTGACTGAGACGGTCAGCAGTGTGACCAGCAAGGTGGCTGGTGAGGTGAAGCTGGCTGTGAGGTTAGTGGTGGAGTAGGGAGGTCACTGTGAAGGACGATGTGATGCAGAAAGAGCATACCCATATTAGAGTTATATCAATAGAGAAGAACCAAGACTTACCTGCATCATCCATAGCCTTGGACATCTCTTAACGGGAGACCAAAGGTATGTGTCCGGTGCCTTCACATCGGCAATAAAGTCTTGATCCCGATGATGTCATTTCGTAGTTCCAATCGGGGGCAAGCGGCGGTGACCCAAGCGTGCGGTTCGTCAAGCAGGCCGACCAGGATGAGGCTTCAACGAGATCAGATGAGACGAGGCGAGAACTCTCGGACCTCCGATATATCGTCAAGATGACAGCATCGAAGAAACCGAACAAATACAGACACACAATCGCATGAAGCTTGTCCGCCCTGGTTGTCGTGTCTGCGTTGCCGTTCGGTCTTTTGTCCTTTTCTTCAAAACACACACTACTCCTTACCAACACTGGTCACGATGCCAACGTACCATCCCTATCAAACACAACCAGCAGAAGCTCGACGTTTTATCCAAGAATGCTGGGGTCTTCAGGGTGCAGCTTACCTGGTGATTGTGGTCCGATATTATAGCAGGATACGACAGTTGGGTTGGCACAAACTGGCACTGGACGACAGCCTGATGCTTTTGGCTTTGGTAAGTTCCTTTGATCCGTTACCCGGGTGCTTGTAGTAGACACAAAGCTCACCCTTCTGTCTTCCGGCATCCAGTTCGTATACACAGCCGAGAGCGTCATGGCTCACCTCGTTGTTGCCTGGTGGCATGGGTTAGCAAATAACGAAATGACAGAAGAACAACGAGCGACGATAAAGCCAGGCTCTGAAGAGTACAGATTACGGGTCAACGGATCAAAGGCACACGTCGTCGGTCTTCTTCTGTATATGACCCTTCTCTGGCTTCTCAAAGCCTGTTGGTCAGTGTACTATGCACGCTTAACGTGAGTGTCAGCTTCTGGGCATGGATTTGAACGAGGCAAGAAACGAAGATGGGAAGCATAAAGATCAACTGCTGACTTCCGGTGGACAGAGCTGGTATCTGCCACATGCGCCGCTGGATCATCGGTGCATACATCCTCCTCCCTCTGACCTACCTTGCCTGTCTCTGCGTTGCCTTTACGAAATGCATCCCTTTCTCCAAACAGTGGCAGATCAACCCCGACCCAGGCAACAACTGCAAACCGGCAGTATCAGTTCTGCAGACGGTTTTCGTCATGATCATGAACACCGCCACCGACTTTTACCTCATGGGAATCCCGTTGCCTATGATCTGGAAATCGAACCTGCCTTGGTCCAATAAGTTGGTGCTGTTGGTCATGTTCAGTGGTGGATTCATCGAAATGGCGTTTGGGATCTTGCGCTGTGTTAGCATTTTGACTGTGAGTCCGTCCCTCGGTTTGGTCAGATCACCTCCCAAGACAACACACTGACTTCTTCAAGGTGGGAAACACAGACCCCGCCCAATCAGGCTACTGGTCCGTCCGCGAATCCTTCGTCTCCTTTGTCCTGACCAACCTGCCCATGATATACCCGCTTTTCAAGCGCCTTGTCGATCACGTCGTCTACTCCCTCACCGACTGGTCGCGCAAGGACGACACCGCTACCGACAACCACAACACGAACAATACGAGCTTCAAGTCCAACGGATTCATGCTCAACCCGCAAGAGTATCCATATCCTATCGATAGCCCAATGTTTAACCCAATTCGGTCTGGTGCGTCTCGCGGAACTAACGGTAGACCTGGTGCCATGCCTGATCCCATCTTCTCGATACACGACGGTGATCTGGGGGATTTTTGGGGAAGCACGACGAGCGAGGATAATACTATCGGCACCAGCACTGGACAGGGTAGTGACCCTGATGATGTCTCCAGGCAGACTTTGCATGCAACGGTTGGGAGTCAAAGCGGAACGAAGAGTTATCGGTCGAACTGCAACAGTCCTACTCAAAGTAGGAACGATTGTGGGCGGAAAATGACGACGCAGACACCACACTTTAAAATGGTAACGTCTGTGGAGAGTTCGGGGATGATTGCGGATCAGCCACATCGCGGTCTTTGTTCAGGGGATAGTAGTAGTAGTACGGGCAACGGTACGGCGCAAAGTGCAAAGGGGATTGTGGTGACCAGAGAGGTTACTGTGATGGAGGAGGGAGTGTGTTGGCCAGATACACCTGGATTGAGTCCTGGGTTACCGCCAACTGAATTGTGGGAATGGGGAGACTTCCACATGGGATATTGATCATGCCTGAAACAGGAACAGATGAGCTGGGTTGTACTCGTGCGTGTTGTTCTGTGTTTAGGCGGGATGGAATGGGGATAGGAATATGAACGTTGAACTTACCAAAGATGCTGCCTATTGCCCGGATTCTGAGCTGTGGAGAAATGAACAGCGCCATGTGCGGTGGTAGGAAGACTGATGTGTCGAGATCCGAACACCTGCCCTTGAATGCCTGTTGTCTTCTCGTCCAACCAAAGTATGTTCTGTTCTCCGGCCCCTTCTAGAACAGAACAAGGCCGACCCGAGCACCTTTTCCGTGAACGCCCATTGTCTTCCTCGACCAACCGGGCCACAATCCGTCTTCAGGTGTTCTTCTCGAATGCTGAACAAGGCGTATTGTCCTTCAACCACAGCCCCAAGGAAATTGCAAGACCAATAGGATGCATCCCTGACAGTGTTCTCAAAGCCGGGTACAAGTCCATTGTCCCGGAAGGCTGTTCCCGATGGGAGCCCTTGTCCCATTGTGTTCTCCCGAGTTTCGACGGAGGGTAATCGAGAGCCTGTCAATCTTGGTGTCCTCCAAGGTCTCCTTTGTTCCGCTGTTCTGTGAGTGATATTTGATATTCGGAATGGGGGCATCTTGACGAGTGTCGAAAAGGTATAAGTATCGATGTCGGGATCATCCAAGTTCGATTTTGTTTGCTGTCATCAGCATCAGCAAGAACATCGACAGCAAGCAAACACTTACCAACAAGACTTCAAGAATACTCAAAGTCCAACAAGCCTTCATCAACCAACAACAATTTCCAACAACCAACCAACCAACCAACCGTTCGAATACTTCTCCCGAACCACCAACCGTACGTATCACCATGTGTTTCACTCCCACTACCGCCATGTGCAAAAGCACCAAGCGCACCTTCTCCTCCATCTCCGACGAAGACTCTTCTTCCCAGGGAGCTACCAAACGCACCTGCCTTCCAACTGACAACGCCAGCCATCTTGGTCCTCTCGCTCTCAACTCCCCTCCCAAGTTTGCTCCCATGCGTCCCCTCCCCTCCATCTGGCCTTGGAACTTGGACACTGACAACGACGCAGACGCTCCGCTCCCTCCTCCTCCTTCTATCACCAGCCGCATCCCGCCGTTCCACACCCACAGCTCTTCGCACTGTGGAAACCATGCCCGCGAGCATTCCTTCCCGTCTGTGTCTTCGTCAGGCAAGAAGCTCAACAAGAGCACAAGAGTAGGTACTCTTTGCTCCTTCTGCTTTGGTCCGTACAAGCAGGGTGATCTCCACCAGCTTCCTTGCGGACACTTCACTTGTTTGTCTTGTCTCGAGGAGAGGGTTAGACAGATCCCGAGCTACATGGCCGTTAACGCTCAGCAGATCAACGAGACTGTAGCCAAGCTGCGCGATATCATGGAGTATCTCGGTACCGTTACCGAGACTGATCCTCTGGCTGATACGGTCAGACAATACTGGGTCGATGAGTTCGGCACCCTCCGCCAAGATCTGGCGATGCTGACGAATTTGTCTTGCCAGTATTGTCTGGTGCATATCCAGCCGTCGCGGTCCATGACTTGTCTGTCGCCCGAGATGTCCAAGGTGTTGTGGTTGACCGAGGAGTGGTTAGTTGATGAAGATAGGATGGTCTGTGGATGGCCGGATTGTAGGGGGTACATCCCTAGTTGGTGTACCTACCTCTTTGTTGGGGAGAAGGAGGTAAGTGACCCGGAGGTTGCGGACGGGAGGCGGTGGTGGTGCCCGAACTGCAAGGGCAACTCGTTTGAGGCTGAGGAGGGGATGAACCCGGGGAGGTAAGTTGGTCAAGGGTATTCGGAGTGTACGAGGATTGTCGAGTTTTTGTTTGCTTGGTGCGTGTGCGCTTTGATTATGGCTTCCTATAGTGTGTCGAGTTCGTTAGTTGGATAATACAGTGATTTGAATAATTGAAAGATATTTTCTACAAACTGATGCGGTGATTGTGATCAATGGACCTGCGGCGGCGTGTTGATTCCACTGTGAATGAGATGTGATTATATCTTTGTGTGCTCTGACATTGGGCCAATGCTGTTAGTGACATACCAGTGGCCGCCCAGCCGACTGGAGTAACGTCGTATTCTGGGTTGCAGGCGCAATCGATTGATGATGAAGCCCGGCGAGGGCGGAGTGACTGTGGGAGATTGAACAAGGCATCCCGCACATTTCAGAAAGATGTAAAAGGCGCGATCGAGAAGAGTTTCTTTGGTTGCTACTTGTCTTGCGAAAGAAGAAGGAAAGCAAAAGGAAAGGAAGGAGAATGGAAGACGCTGTGTCGGAGAGAGACCCAAGCGCCACCACATTTCTGCCGCGGCAGTCACTGCCATCAAGAGCTCCATTTCACTTCCTTCTTTTGACATCCATTGCTTTCTTGGCCCTCAAAGCAAAATGAAAGGCAGTGAAGTTAGGTACCCAACAGTCCCGAAAACGCCGTATTGTATCCCAGACGGAGTCTCAGACAAGCAGTCCAACAACCAACAAAAGCCAAACTCCCACTCCAAGCAGTGTGTTGTCCTACTACCACCGACAGAAATCCTTGAACCTGCCCCCGAGTCCGAGTGGTGGAACTTTACATTTACTTGGTGACTATGCACAAATGCATCATCTTGGATGTCACCTTTATCCTTGACGCAGGACCTCATCATTTCTCCCACGGCCGCCGTGTCCGTCGTCACGAGGTTGCCGTTCAGCTTGGAGTTGGAAATGATCGAGTCTGGGATCAAGCACCACAAGACGCAATCTTTGAATATGCCCTCACCATAGATATGGACCTTGTTGGGCGCGCAGCATTCGTTCATACCCGTCAAGGACTCGTTCCAGTTCGGGAGGGCGAAGAAGGTGCTGTGCAGGGGCATGCCCAAGTTTCCGGGGAGGGAATTGCGTGGGCAGATGGTGCCGTTGGGTAACAGATAATCTATGGTAGGGTTTGATGGAGTTTGCTTTTAGCCTCATGGAAGTCAGCGGATCGTGATAGTTGTCGAGGTTGAATAAAGCAAGTTTGACTCAGAGTACAAAGAACTTCGGTGAGCCACATGGAAGTCACAATGCAATCACATACTCTTCAGTGAATCAAAGACATCACCGATTCCTGAATTTCCGCCGTGTTTTAAGTGCGGGCGATGCATTTTCTTCTTCTTTGGTGGCTGTACCTCACAGGGCAGCAGCTGGATTGATCAAGGATAATGTGAAAGAGGTGAAAGAGAGAAAACCACCTTGGGTACAGATTGATGGGCTGGTTAGGAAGAGGACAAATAGTAAAACGCCAAAGGGAACGCCCACCCTAAATACCCAAGGGCAGCCCGAAGAATGGAAACTTTTGGTGTGCTGTGCAAAATATGTGGCCATCTGTCTTGACCAAGTTTATCTTACTTATGTATTCGAACCAAGCGGACATTATCATGTTTGTGCAGTGAAGCTGCATCTTACAAGCCTTCCATTCATGTGCAGCATCGATTATGGTAGGTACCAACATACCGTTACCTCATGTACTGAATCTTGTTTATGTGATAAAATGAAAACCTGGACACTGCCCTGCAGCAACAGTATTGCTCGTGATCAAAATAGACTTCCCTTTTGGTCGACTCCGGCAGGTATTTCAGCACCGGCCGTTACTCCACTATCTCAGTAAGCGCTATGCTTGCAGTACTACAGATAATGCACCATCTAAGTTGAGCATCTGCACCGGGGCCCCTCTTTCCTGATTTGTCACCCGCCCAGGTCGTCACTCAAGTGATAAGACCACAAGCAGAAGCACGAGCACAACCTTAAGCACACAAAACCGCCGTCCAAGAACAAGATATTGCTACGAAAAACGTTCACAGTCAACCCATCAGCTCCAGTAATGATAACTATTCTTGCCCACAGCCGACGACGGAGCAGGTGGGGGAGGGGTGTTTTCGCCCCCGTCCACAGACCACAGCGTTGTTTTTCTGATAGAAGAACACACAGCAGCGAGAGATGTTCATCTGGTCCAATAGCATTATCATTACTGTGCGCATAAAAGCGCTACTAAATTCAGAGAAGGCAACCTGGGACTTTATCGCTGTTTGAGATTACCCTCAATACTGTTGAACATCTAAAAGCAAATCCCCCGATCCAAAAAGAACAACGCTGACCTATTCCACGTTTCGTCTTTCCGCTCGCTTCCCCGTGCGCTCAGGAATGTCAATCAACCCAGGCCAGAGGTCTGAGAGGATGGTCTAGTTCGCGTGATAGTGCGGGTAACTTTTACCTATACATCACTCGACTTCACGCGTGTCTCTTCCTCTTCGGACTTCCTTTTATCTTCCAGCTCCCGAATCTCGAGCTGTGTCTTCCTCGCAATTTCCGGCCCCACCACCTTCAACATCTGAGCATTATACTGGTCATACCGTTGACGACGACTTACCTCGTCGTCGTGACACCAAACCATCTCCGTGCCAACGATACCAAAGTAGGGAAGAATCATGGCGTCAGCCACGAGACGGTCCTCCTGGAGGAAGAGCCACTGAATGGCCCACTCCTCTGGCATGGGATTGTTCAACCCCAATGCCGCAGTGTCCCTCAACACCTGGATATCCTCGTGCACCGGGCGCTTCCAGGACAGGCAGTCCATGTCGTCAGGCGATTCGGGGCCTCCGTTGTAAAAGTGGACAAGGGTGGTCGCGGTGGATTTGTCGAAGAAGGACTGCAAGAGTTCGTCGTGGGTAGCGTCATGGTTGCAGTCCAGAATTCCGTAAGGGGTCTGGCTATAGGCTGGAAGGAGGTGATATGGCTGGTAAGGCTTGCTGGGGCCGCAAAGGGGGATCTGGGTCGTGTTTGGTTGAGTCATGTTCTCGGAAAGACCAGACGAGATGTGCGAAGTGGTGTGATTCCTCCCTTGCCAGAGGTCCAGAAGGCACCAGGCGTTCATAATAATGCGTAAGAAAAGAAGAAAACGGTCAATTTTCTGTTCTCTACGCCTGTTTGTACCTCTGGTATCCTCTCGTGGGTCGGCATGGGTTTCGGCGACGGCATGGGATTCAAGGACGGCAGCCGGGGCGGCGGATGGCAGAAACTCGTTAGACAGGAGAATTTCGTCATCGTCATCGCCGCCGGCATATTCAGACCCAGAGACAGGAGTAGTTACGATCGAGTACGCATCATCCGAATCGCCGGAATGTTCGATATTTGGCATCTCGTATTTGTCGAGGTCGATGGGGGAAGCCATCGGGGGCTTATGGGGTTGATGGGGATGTAAATTCATAGCGAACGTTGTCGGGTTTCTGTGGATATCTTTGTGTTGGCTTGTTGAGAGCTGGAAAGGGGGTATGCAAGTAAAGGGTACGGACGGCAGCATGCTTACGGATCGGGGACTGGAGATGTAGAATATCACTGTTTGGGTTGTGATGGCATGTATGTGGTACTGTCAGAGTAATGTGATGACTGGAGAAAGAAGATGAATAGGTTGGGAGAAAGGTAGAAGCAAGAAGGGAATGGGTAGCCACCTGGAAGAGATATTTATTCTAAACAAATTGGAAAAGTCTGTCTGAATAAATCCCCAGGCAGAGAATAGAAGTTCGTGCAGAAACATACAGTCGTCGATGCAGTCCGCAGCAAGCCCGACACCTGCACCATTTTGTGGTCGGCAGTCCGGATCAAGAGAGCGTAGATGGACACTGAATCCATGTGCAACTGCAGAGGACAGAGAGGCGCCGTCCACACATGACTTGACAAGATCGCGGTGGAAGCAACAGGCGAAAGGTCCAACAACGTCTTTTGACCGGACGGGAGAATTGGATTGAGCAGCGAACAGGTTGGATACGAACATGTCTGGGGAAGAATGTCCAATCCCGAGAGGTGGAAGTCACCGTGAAACTTGGTTCCAACGCATCCTCGCAACCCTGTCTCCTTCCGAACATCGCTCCTTCCAAACTCGTGGAGAAAACTCTGCTCCAGACGTAAGTAATTTCGATATGGGCGAACTGCCATGACCGAGAAATTGAAGATGCATAATCTCCATACCTACTGTCCTTGGGTTCGCGGCGTTGCGATGCATCGCATCTATGAGGTGCGGAATCAGCGATATGCAGGCAAAAGAAACATCAGGAAAAGGACCATTGCAGCAAGATTATGCCCTGGGAAATGAGACCAATTGGCCCGTTCTAATTACGCGCAGCGCACCGGTTGTTTCAGCAAGCCTTCCATTTTTGGGTAAGTACACTGGCATCTTATGAATCCCATCTAAGCCATCGCGTCTGAAGATTGCCAGACTATCTTCAACGCCTGACAAGAGACATGGACATTCCAAGATGGGGGCCAGATATCCAGAGAATGAGGTCCAAACAGATCAATCATCGAACCCTCCTGGGTCCGGCACCCACTAGCACCGGCTCCCATCATACTCTCAACATCTCCTGCTGCTGCTCTTCACACCTCTTCTCACCCCTTCTCGCTCCAAATCCCTACCACCTCGCCCATACCCCCTCCCTCCTTCCTACCACCACCCTTCAACCAAACGTCGTGACACCACCAACACACGTTTAACCTGCTCCAAGTCCCAAGTCCCTCCTCTCTTCTAACTCCCAGGCTCCTCCTAAGCCTCCTTCTCCGCTTTCTCACTGTATTTCGTAGTTCGACGCGTCGTCGTGTTCACGGTACATCTCATTGCAAATCCTATAACAGCGTACGTGGCATCACAGTATACCTGCGGGCAGTACTTCTACTAATGCTCGGAGCTGGAGGGGTGGTACGGGTCGCAACGGGAGTGGGAGTGGAACGGGGGTCGAGGCTTGCGTTTGGGATCAATGGGATGATGGGTGCTGGTGGCAGTATTAATGTTGATGTTGATAGTTTGATCATAGTGCCGTAGATAAAAA